AAACCGTTAAGTTAGTCTCATGAGCATAATAAAATAAATAATATTCAAAGCAAATAAATCACATCATATTCTTATGGAAACTAAGCATGATTCGCTCCTCACTCATGCCATCATGAAATGCTTCATCACCTGAAAAACTTCTCTCTACTTGTCCCCATTACTCGCCATTAGAAATGGGTTGTCGTAGGGCCAAGGTAAAGACAAGGCCAAACAAACATACAACACACAATCAGCAATGCTGAGTACATAAGCGTAATAAAACACACTATCATGCTTTCATCCTATCATCACACAACTTACCTTGTTGCACCTGTAAACAAGCATACAAGATATTCAACACTTAACTAGATAAATACCAGTGTCCATTTAATTTGATTACGCATTACATGGGTTTCCCCCTAACCTGCCCCATTAAAAGGATACTAACACGGGAGCTAACCGTGACAGTATAAAAGAACAACTCGTAAGTGACGGAATTCTTGCGTATAATAAAAAGGAATATACAGTGTCCTGTACTCCCAGTAGAAGTTATGGTCAAATATAAAGTCGCATAACTCCCCCCATATGTTCATACTCAAGGTATATACGTTCCAAGAGTTTTGGTGCGTAATTTCCTTCACTTTACGTTACGTTACATATTATTATACTTGGTGATGACTCTCAAACCATAATACAATCAAACATTATAATTCATTCAAGCAATCAAACATACCAATTTAATTCTTGAATAATTAGTGACCACATAAACTTTAATAGTTGAACCCTTTTTAATCTACCTCGGTGTCAAAGACACCTTAAGCGCATAAAGCACCACAAATCCTATCCCTCGGTGTTTAGAACACCTTAAGTGCACTTAAGCCCCAAAATATAATTTAATCCTCGTGTACATAGACACTTAAATAGCTTCTTCCTCATGTTTATAGCATCAATAAAAATTATATGAACCATAATAAAATTTCCTTTTCATATTCCAAATCAAATTAAACATTTAGTTTAATTAAACATGCTCTCTATCATGCCAACAATAAAAGTGTGGTTCATATTCAACATTCCAACATAATTAATTCCAATCACCAATTCATCATAAATAATTCATACATCACAAATCATTTACCAACATCAATCCAATCAACAAATTCCAACCAACACCTATCATGATACTACTTAGAATTAATTTATCAAAACCTAGCACGCTTCTACCTATTCAAATAATTACCAAGTACGCGAATGTACCTTGAATATGATCTCAAAATCGCAACGACTAACTAAAATCACTCACTTGGAAACCTCTTACAAACCAAAATTACGAAGAGGCATTAATACCTATTCCACACAAATTTCCAGCAATATATACACTCTTTAAATCACTCATAAACCCTCTAAAACAAGCTAAAATTTAATTAAACACCCTTAATTTTATTCCCAATTAATGGGTAATTAAAATTCCTTTCGAGAAACATAATTATAGCTTATATAAAAATTTCAGCTTTATTATATCATTTAAAATTGCTGTAAATGTATTTTAAAACACTTATTTCAATAATTTAAATCACCCATAAACAATTTTCATCAATATACATAAACTTAGAAACCTAGAATTTATAATTTGAGGCTTTTTAATTCAAAACCAAATCTAAAAATTTATATACAAGATACTTATTATCAAACATCATAAAAATCATCACAAAACCCAAAAACAATAATTAGATAAGGGTAGATTTAATTAAAAATCAAAAAGAAAGAATTTTTTTTTGAAGGTGTGCGCACAGCACCACCGCGGCAAGGCTGCCGCCGCGCCTGCCGGTCAGTACTGCTGCTGCCGGCGCTCGCTGGTGGTGGCCGGCTGGTGGTGGTGTGTGTGTGAGTGGTGATTGAAACAAAAATAAAAATAAAGGGAAAGGGGAAAAATAAGAGAAAAAGAGAGAAAATAAGAAGAGAGAGAAAGACAGTGCTACCTAGGGTATTCTCCACCTTGGACAAAGTTTAATTTGTCCATGTGATGGGCATTTATACTCCCTTTCTAAAACTCTCCTTGACTTAAATTTCCTTTTTACCCTTAATGATCTCTTTCCTATTCAAACTAGTATTTTGACTTTCCTTAAATACCATGGACTTTAAAATTTCCTTTTTTTATAAAATTATATGCCCCAAAGTTTCCAAATCATGAAATAAAATATTTTCAAGATTGTTAAATAATTAAAAATAAACTTTTAATTAAAATAATTCTTTTTAAATTAATGAAACACCATACATAATTCATTTTGAATTATTTAAATACTTTAAGAACTACTTATTTAAGTTAAAATACGTATAAAAATACGGGGTATTACACACCCGGACACCTGAAATAGATTAAAACTAATGTGGGACCCGAGCGTTGCCCCGAATGTTACTTTGAGTATTATTTTTTTCAAAAGTATTTAAATTTTTTAATATTAATAATTTGGAATATAATGTCGAATATCGAAGATAATATAAAGAGTAATATAAGTTTTTTTTTGTTTGGATGTTATTTTTTATTCTACATTTAAATACATTTATGTGGATGAATAGACCATAAATTATTGCTACTTAAGATGGCAAGACGTGTGGTATTCATTCCATGAGATTAGGGTTCAAACCTCTTTCTATGCCATGAATTATGAACGGTGACGTGACACACGTGGCACACATAGTTTTCTGAATGATCTCACTATGTAGATCTTTATCACACTTTTTATTTCAATAAATAATTTATTAATAATCATATGTTACATTTTATAGTAAAAAAGAGAAGACATTTTAGAAACGAAAAAATACTAATAGAAAATCATTGAGAAAAATAATAGACCAATTTAGACTATGAATAGCTAAAATAAATATCTTATTACTTATTTCAGATCAGATCAGAAAAATAAGTTCAAATGAGATTAGATCAGAAAAATAAGTTTAAATCAGATCACATCATAAAAAATAAGTTTTGATCATAAATTTTTGTGTGACTTTTTAATCAGTAAATATCTTTGATTTCGTAATGAAAAAAAATAATGAAAAAAATTATAAAAATTAAAAAAATCCACATTAATTTAAATCTAATAAGACCCCATTTAATGTATTTTTTATCCCTATGGATTAGCGCATATATAACGTCAAACTTTAATCAGATTAGGCCGTCAGATTAGATCACAAAAAAATAATGTAAGATTATATTAGATAACATAAGTTTAATCAAATCACATAATTAAAAATAAGGAGAATAAAACATAGCTTTAAAGGCATAGAATCGGCCTGAGAGAGTACGTTACTCCCTAGACCAATTCAAGGGGAACGAGATACACAACAAAAACTTGTCATGTCCGAGCAAACACTAAAGAATTGATGATCACCTTTTATTAGTGACCATGTGCCGTAGTCCTAAGACCATAGTACAAATTTTCGAAATTAGTACAAATTTTCGAAATTAGTTGGGTGATTAATAGTATAAATTAATAACTCGTAAATTATTTCATAAAATATGAGGATCCAAGGAAAAATTGAAAAATAAAAGAAACACTTTGTAGTTGTGTTAGTTATAATTGAGTTGACACAATTATTTAAACCCACGTTGAATTAGAAGCACTAAATACTGGTATAGCTTGTTTTGTTTTTTTGAAAGGAGATACTGGTATAGCTTCAGGCCTCACTCTTCTCCATAAAATTTCTTGGTGGACTTTATTCCAAAAAAAAGTCTAAAAAGGATTAGAGTGTGATGTTTACCAAAAGTAAACATTGTAGGTAGCTTTAAGAAAATGGAACTTAAAGCAATAAATTAGTTAATTAAAAAAAAAAAAAACATAATGTACTGTACAAGAAACCAAAAAGACAAAAGAACCAAATGATGTAAACTTATTCCTTCCCCTCAAACAATGAATTAAAAAAGGAAAGGGACCCAATCAACTAAACTTGGTCCAAGGCAGTGGACAAGGTCATGTACTCATATAGTGACTTCATTCTCTAGTCAAAATTCATCCCTACATCCATGGAGTATTAATTTATTATGGGTAATTGTTATTTCCAGATCACACTAGTTTTCAGGAATTGGTTTTTTTTTTCCTTTTCTGATTTGATTCAACTTCATAATGGTTGGATTTATATTGCAACCTAGGTTAAACACAACTGTTAATAAATACAATTTGCATGTGAAAATTAAATATAAAATTTGTATTAATAATTCAATCAGGGATTGTGATAAATTTCTACAGATACCTACCAATTAAAAGGTGTATTTGTCTTGTAAATTGCAATTCAACTTATGTTAGAGTATATATGATATTAAGTTGATTTAGTTACCCGTAATTTCGATTCAGATTTTTGAAACATTAATAAAGTTGATACTAAACGTAATACAAATTATTTTGATATAAATAATCATATTTTTTGTTGAGATTTTTTTTTCTTTTTATTTTACAGATCAATTTAAATTTTTTGGATTTTGCACAACTCTACCGCTAGAGAGGAAAAGGATGGAGTAGGGTGAAATTTCATTGTATTGTATTTATAAAATACACTCCATCCATGATTAATACTATATCCATAACTCTTCGTAAATGAGCTAAAATAGTACTAATACATTTGTATTACATTAAAAGAAATTATAAATTCAATAATTTTGTCATCATTGTCTTTGAAATTTTACACAATTGTATGCAATCCAAAACCATTCCTTTGTACGAATTTTAACATGTGAAAATCACTTTATTTAGAAAAGTGAAATTATTTTTTTCTAAAGATATGCAATGAAACAATAAAGATCATTTGAGCCAAAAGAACTATAAAAAAACATTTAAAGTTTACCAATTTAAAAATGATACAGAGTAAGTAGAATTTTTTTTTTTTTTTTATTTTTTGATATTTTTTTAAAGAAAGTGAGTAGAATTTTTTTTTTTTTGAAGACGTGAGTAGAAATTAAAAAACCAGATTTTGAATCAAAAGTGAATAAATAAAATTTCAAAAGAACAAAGAAGCATATAGAGATCTACTTATTTTTAATTATTCTTTAAATAAATTTATATTAATAGCTACATTGATTTAATAATTATCGCGCAAAAATGTGACCTATCATTGAAAGAGTGGTAGACGGGGCATAAAAATAACAAAAAAAACTCGAATTAAAAGCAATTGGATTGGAAGAATCCCTCATTCTCCGGTTGGTCCATTTCTTTCTCTCACTCTCAAAATTCACTCTCTCTGTATTGAACCTTTCAGACACACCTTTGCTGTGCTGTACTGCTACTGTTCAGTGCTCAGTTCCCTCTGCTTCTTTCCCGCATTTACTGTCAAACCCCATTTTTTGTACTCATGACCACCATTTCCAACCACCTCCTTTCTCCCTCATCTTTCCTCTGCGCTCTTCAGGTTCATTCTCTTTCTTCTCTCTCTTCCTTTTCATTTCCATCTTTCAATTTCTGCAGTTTTTCATTCTTCTGTTACCTCTCTTTATATACTTTTGTTTTTATTTTTTTTAGTTAATTTCTTCATTTTATGCTGATTTTGTTTCTAAATTTGCCTTGAAATTGGTGAAATAATTGATTCGAGGTATAAATTTTGAAAACTTTGATGTTTGTTTTGATAATTATTTGTTTGATTTTGAATACGTTAATTTGGCTAATATTTGTGTACGAATTAGCTTAAATTTGGTGAAAAAAAGGAGATTCGACCTATAAATTTCGAAGAATTTGATGTTAGTTTGGCAATTATCTATGTTCGATTTTGAAATTTAGTTCCGCGTTGAGTGAGATTTGCATTACTTTGGCCAGCATTTGTGTATGAATTAGCTTGTAATTAGCGAAAATGTTGATTCGAGTTCGAAATATTGAAGAATTTGATGTTAATATAGCTAATTTTTGTGTTTGATTTTTGATTAATAGCTCATCTGTGACTGAGATTTGCGCACTTAATTGGTTGGAATTTGGAAACAAAGTGTTGTTAGGGATTTGAGATTATAGAGGGAGAAAGAGGAGAGAGAGAGAGGTGAAAATGGAGGGAAGGATGAAGAAGTACAGGCAAGTTAGTCCAGAGAGAGCAAAAGTGTGGAAGGAGAGGTCGCCGAAGTACGTGCAGAATCGTAAAGTACCGGTTGTTTATTATCTGTGTCGAAATCGACAGCTCGAACATCCTCATTTTATTGAGGTTCCTATATCCTCTCCTGAGGGTCTCTATCTAAGAGGTATTGTTGTTAAATTAAGAGAGTGAAAATCGATGTTATCGAAACATGATGCTGATACAAGTATGTGTTTTTGTTTGCAGATGTGATTGAGAGGCTAAACAATCTGAGAGGAAGAGGCATGGCTTCAATGTATTCATGGTCTTCTAAAAGGTAGTCATACATTATCACTTTTGCACATGTTGCTTGTCTGGAAATCTAATAAAAGAAAAAAGGGTTAAAAGGATACTTAGATGTTTTGCGTCGATTTAACTAAAGCCAATGTCTTTGTGACTTTTAATTGCAGAATCATGTGTTCTGAAGCTTAGATGAGTTTATTGATACCGTCGACTTTAGCTTGATTTTTCTAGCTTTATTAATACTTTAGTCTAATTATGGTATTTGCATACACAATTGAATAGTGAACAAACAACATGCTCACACAGTCACACTTAATTTCTGTAGCTTCTATAGGAAAAATGTGTTCTGATTTTTCTAAAGCTTAGATGAGTTTATTGGCACTATCGACTTTAGACCAGTTTTGCTAGTTTTAGTAATACTTTTTAGTCTACTTATGGTATTTGCATACATGAATGAATAGTGAACTTATTCAAGGACAAGATGCTCACATTTAGCTTTTAATCTCAAATTGACGATACTTTAGCCCATAGAATTTATGGTAATAGTCATTCAAGTGAAGTGAACACTAAGATCTTAGCGTTACTGTAAGTCTTGCTTAAAGTTATTTTGAGCAGAGAATTTGTTTGTAAAAGAATGCCTTCTCTCCTAATATTGATCATTGTCAATTTGTCATTACCTTTTGCTAGTAAAAAAATTTAAAGTTTACTCGTCACCAAAAAGAATTTATTCATGGCTTATTGCTTATTGCATGTGACTTTTGAACCTCATCTTGAGCATGTGTTACCGGTATGGATTTTTCAACTCATTCTGCTTCTTTAAACCACCACAGAAGCTACAAGAGTGGGTTTGTTTGGCATGATCTCTGTGAAGATGATCTCATACTTCCGGCACATGGAGATGAGTATATTCTCAAGGGTTCCGAGATCATTGAAGATTCCAACTCAGGTAAAAAATTTCACTAACAGTAGCTTATTTAAAGATGTAAAGCTATGAAACTAGAGTCCATGGTTGACAGGTTAGACTAGTTGGAAAAATAAAAAAGTTCTTATCTTTAACTTTTTTTTTTTATTGCAGATCGTTTCAGCCCGGTAGCTGTTTACAGGATGCACAACTTAAAACAATTACCTGAACCACCTACTTGCAGAAGTCACGAGGATACATCCCCTTCCATGAGCACGGATGACAAGAGCACAGATGACAAAGAAACAAAGCATCCTCATGAAGATGAGACATCCCCTCCATCTCAACGTTCAGGTTCCTCAGCTGTTTCTCCTGACTCAAGAGCAGGGAGCCACTCTCCATGGGGTGCTTCCTTAAGTCTGACAGAATACAAGTTACCCAAGAGTGAAGGTGCAGCCGATGCTTCTACTCAGACTGAGGAAAATCCGAGACAAGTTAATCAGAAAGAAACCTGTACTCGAGGTGTTTCTACAGATGATGGGACATTAGGTGGTGAACAACATGAGGACACCCAGAATCATGCTGATAGCTCAAAACAGAATCCAGAGATCAGTGGAAATTCTGTTTCGCCACCAACTTCCTCAAGTGCATCTTCATCTGGTGGAAAAGCTGAAACATTGGAATCTTTAATTAGGTCTGATTTAAGTAAGATTAACAGCTTCAGAAGACTTGAAGTGGAAGATATGCAGATGCCATCCAGCAGCAAAATGAAAGCGTCAAACATGTTGATGCAGCTGATTTCTTGTGGGTCAATATCAGTGAAAGATCATAGTTTTGGGCTGATACCTCTCTACAGGCCGAGATTTTCTGATTCAAAATTTCCTTCCCCTCTATATTCTACTTCGGTAATGTTAGGGGAGCTTGATTGCTTGTCAGACAACTCAAGGTTAATGGGTCTCAGATTGGAAGATAAGGAGTACTTTAGTGGAAGCTTGGTTGAGACTAAAATGCCAAAGGAACAAGGGGACGGGCGTACTCTTAAACGGTCTTCTTCATATAATGCTGACAGGTAATAAGCCTATATCTCAATTTGCACTTCTTTAAACCTAGCATATATAATGCTGTGTACTAACATACTTCAAATTTCTCATCCTCAAGCTTATTGGCTTTGTGTGATTAGTTCTTCAGCTAAATCTACCTTCTAGTTTGTAATTTCTCGGTTCATTAGTACATCATGCTGAGAGGGGAAACCCAGAAAACATCTTTTGGCTCGTAAAATGGGTTATTCTGGGCTTGGAGATGAGTTAATCGTGCAAATTAAGTAAATATGTCTGATGGTGAAACAGAACCTCTGGTCCTTAGAAGACCATGAATATTAATGAAATAAAAAAACAAATTTCTCAAATGCCTTTATAAATCTTCTTGTCATATGGTAGATTTTGAAGAAGCATGCTAAAGGAAAAGAGGTCTACAAAACACACTATTCCTGTAGAACAAAGATCATACTGTACATCTAGACATGATCGGTTGGTTTGCACCAAAACAAGATATGATAGGCTAGTCAAATCTGAAACGGGAACAGGCACGTTGTCGGCTGTAATATCAATTTAGCATTTGCAATATTTTTTAATTGTAATTGATATTTGTATCTTATACCCAATTATACCCCTATATCTGCTGAAGTTGTGAAGAAGCTATAAGATCATGTTACTAAGGAGTTGTGCTAAAGTGATAACAATCAATTGGTTTCATTCAGATCTTCTAAAAAATTTGATTCGGTTGATAACAATGGAGAGGCAACCTCAACAAAGACTAAATGCATTCCAAGGTCCATCAAAACCTCTTTAAGCAAGCCAAGAAGCGAGTCATTGAGATCACCCATATCAGATAAACCTAGGGTGTCTTCTGATGGAAGCCGTGAATCACGGGTCATATCTCATGATATGGCAAATGGTGGCAGTAAAAGGATGTCAGAGCCTTCCTCAGGGAAGAATCCGTCAACAAGAGTAAATTCCTTCAGAGAAGAGGAGATTCAGGAGAAGATCATTAAAATCGAAGAAAGTTAAGTTTCAACTCCTACCCATTTTTTCGCAACTAGTTCTTGATCGCATCTTTTTGTTGCCTGAATTTCACTTCGTACTATCCTAACAGGCTGGCTTCAGGAGCCCGGATTATTATTCAATCCAAAGAGAACTAACATTGCCTGCTGTAAAACTGTAAGTCCTCGCCTTCTCGGACAATCAAGATACTCTTTACACAGGTCTGAATGGCAGCCATTAGATTGTTGGCGGGACAATTCGACGAATCTGTAAAAATGAGAAAAAGGGAGGGAAATTTAAGATGAAAAAAATCCTTTGGGAGATTGGGGGTTGAGGGTGTGGTAAAGTACAGCTGAGGTGGTCCTACTGCTTTGATATACATAACTGTTTTCCAAATGTTAGGTGCCCTGAAGATGTAGAGTACTGTAGTTGTGCAGTGAAAGTATCATTCCAAATTTTCTGCTACTGCTGTCCTGCATGTTGTCTCACAAATAGCTTAGCTTGTAACAGTAAAAAAGGTAGGGCAACCAGCATCTTGTCTCTTTGTTAAATTCTTGTCTAAAAAAGAAAGTTTTGTTTTATTCTTCTGAAATGTTTCTCCTGGAATTTATGAGCATATGTAGGTGTGTCCAAATCAATGTACCATAAATATGAATGAATTAATTAAATGTTGTAATGTTGGCTTAGATTCGGCGCAAAATCTTGTATGAAATGAACTTATAGTAATTTTATTGTGAGGTCGTTGTAATTTTTCTATTTGTAAATGTGACTCCAAAGTCCTTGTTCTTCTTAGGAATAACCCTATTGACTCATAAAAAGATAAGTAAGCTTGCCTCTCCTAAAACTTGTTGAATTTTCTGTTGAATTGCATGTCAATGTCCAAACTTCCATATTCTAGTGATGTACTTGGAGAGAGTAGGGGAAAAAAAGGAAGAGTTAAATGGTGACATTATATTGTTGAGAGAATGCAAGAAATACTAATAAGAAGTTGAGAACGACAAAGAACATTCACAAATAATATTTGTGGCTCACTAACAATGTGTTGACTAGGGCTGAGCAAAAATTATGGTAACCATGAATCGGAATCGAAACCTGTTAGGAACTGCAGGTTCCGAAACCGGAACCTGTACAAGAGGTTCCGGTTGTGGGTAGTAAAATAGAGAACATGTTGCAACAGGTTATGGTTCAGGTTCTCGATTTTTTGGAAACGGAACCTATAGGGTATCCTGTAACCTAATAAAAGTGGTACTTAAGCTCAAATTATATATCAATTTAAGCCTAATTTTTACTTAATATAAATAAAAATAATTGTTATAACTATATGTATTAAATTTGCTAAAAAACTATTTTTGGTTTGTTATATTTGCGAACTGTAAATTTATGACCCTACAATTTTTTAAAAATAAAAATTGCAAAAAATTACGAAATATTGTAAAAGACAAGAGTACCTTGAATTGGAGGTTCTGGTTTCGGTTCCCCATTTTCAGGAACCTGTTCAACAGGTTCCGGTTTCGGTTCTCATTGTTAGGAAATCGGAATTTGTTGCAACAGATTTTGGTTCTGGTTCCAAGAAATTTAACAGGGTACCCTGTTATGCTCACCCCTAGTGTTGACTATATGAGTGAGAGAGTTTTATTAATTTCGAAAAAATATTAATTATGGGATTAGAATTGGTTAAAACCTACTTAAATTTATATACTACTAAAACAGAAACGAAGCAGGCTTCAAAAAAATAAATCTATATAGAAAATTATAATCAACATATATTGTATTGGATCATTCGTAAGGAACTGACCGATTCAATGCATATTTTAACATACTCTATATTGTTGCATGGAGGAATGCAGCCAAGGTAGCGCTAGCCCAATATCTGATCAAGAACCTGGAGGTCAACGTTGCGATGTAACAGAACGATTCACATGTTTACTTCAGTAGTTCAGTGGTCCTCAAGTAATTACGTAATTTGTCCAGTTTGTCCTCTTAATCCAGTCCACCTCGGCATCCTCAATGGTCCAATGCCTATAAACTATGGCCCGTTTGTAAATGTTTCACTTTTTTTTTTTTAAAAAAAATAATAAAAAATGCTTAGTGCATCTATAAAAAGATAAACTTTTGTGTGACAAAAAAAGTTCCCTCTAGATTTCCCTTGGGAGGGTAGTTGTAGGGTTTTCAAGGGATTCCTTCTTTGGAAGGTGTTTTGTCGTTTTTCCCTTTCGTTTCTGTCCAATTTCGTGCTTTCTCTAATCATGAAACCCAATCATAGGGTCAATGATGACGATGACGGTAAGATAATCAGCCAAAAAGATGAGCAACAACAAATAATCACTAAGAATTCGAATAAAAATAGCCCATCTCATAGCCAGGAGGATGAAAGTAAAGAAGATGAAGAGGCGGTGGAATGTGGGTGGAAGAGGGAGAAGAGGAAGATGATGGGCGAGTTGAATTAGGGCTTGTTGGTAGAATCTGGACGGAGAGGCAAATCAATGCGAACGCTTTCATGGCAACTATAAAGAACGTCTGGCAACCTAGGCATGGATTAGAGATTAGCAACACGGGAAGAATGTGTTTGTGTTCCAGTTTTTTCATTGGAAAGACAAACAAAGAGTTGTTGAAGGACAGTCGTGGCACTTTGATAGGCATGCTATTTTGCTTGCAGATATGGATGAAGCCGAAAAGCCATTGGATGTGAAACTTGAAGAATTACCTATGTGGGCTAGGGTCACAATCTCCCTTTCAAAGGTAGGCTAAATGATGTTAATATTGCTGCAATTGGAAACAAAATCGGTACCTTTGTCAAATTGGAGAGTAGTGGAATTACAGGTATTGATAAGTCGACCAGCTTAAGGGTGAGGGTTAATGTCACAAAACCCTTATTAAAGAAAATAAAAGTGAAGATGAGGGGTGGAGTTGAAGAGTTTTTTGATGTCAAGTATGAGAAGCCGCCACTGTACTGCTATTTTTGTGGTAAAATTGGTCATGGGTTGAAAGATTGTGACGATTATAACGAAGAGAGTAACCAAACCCTCCCCTTTGGAGGATGGTTAAAAGCTTCCCGTGGAAGCACATGAAGAATTAAGAAGTTGAAGGGGAATGCAAGAAGAAGAGCTCGTGTGCTAGAGGCCTTTTTGTCACAAAGCCAAAAGCTGGATTGAAGACCGTTGCTAAAGAACATTTGAGTGATGTTCTAGATAAACTAGATAAATGTGCTATATCAAAAGATCCCGATGGTGGCTTAAATATACAGGAGGTTGAGAATAACAACAATGGCCTGGTCAGGAATGCCGGTCAGAGTGAGCTCATTACGAGTGAAGACAACAACATCAATTGTAGCAAGGCTTTGAGTGCTCCACTTGGTGTGTTGGTGGACACAAGAAATGAATCATCCGATAGCGAAACAAATGAGACAAAAAGGGGTAGGAAAAAGAAATGGAAAGCTATGGCGAGAGACAAAAAAGGTGAACCTATTTCTTCTGAGCCTTTGAGTGGAAAATCCAGAAAAAAAAAGAGATTGTGGAAGAGATGATGGTGATCCAATGGAGATGGACGAATCTTTGAGCCTAAAAATTAGAGCTATTGATTACAAGTCCCTGAGTTCGAATGCAAGCGTCATTTCGGCCCCGATGGTATGTGTGCCCTTTTCTATCAAAAATTTTGGAGCATTGTTGGTTGTGATGTGATTGAAAAAGTTTTGAATATTTTGAATAATTGTGGTGATATGGTTCTATAAATCAGACTCATATTGTGCTAATTCCGAAAAAGAAAATTTGTGAGTCTCCTATTGATTTTAGACCAATCAGTTTGTGTAATGTTTTATATAAAATTGTTGCGAAAGTGCTTGCTAATAGACTGGAAAAATTCCTCTCGGATATTATCGTGAATCTCAGAGTGGCTTTGTTCCGGGGCGCCTTATCACCGATAATATCCTTGTAGCGTATGAAAGTGTTCATTTTTTGAGGAAGAAGAAAAAAGGAAAAACGGGTTTTCTTGGATTGAAATTAGGTATGATCAAAGCTTATGATAGAGTCGAATGAGACTTTCTTGAGCAAATGATGAGGAAATTGGGGTTCCCCGGAAGTTTTGTCTGCCTTGTCATGGCTTGTGTGAGGTCGGCTTCTTTTTCTATCTTGGTTAATGGTCAACCCTCTAGGGGCTTTCTTCCTTCCAAGGGGCTTCGATAGGGTGACCCGCTCTCCCCTTTTCTCTTTATTATTTGTGCCGAGGGTTTATCTTCTTTACTTAGGGATGCGGAGAATAGGAGTTTGATTCATGGTATAAAAATCGGGAAGCATGTGGATCAAATTTCTCATCTCTTCTTTGCAGATGATAGTTTGCTTTTTGTGAGAGAAAATGAGGAGGAAGTGGATAATGTGCTTGATATTCTTTCCACTTACGAGATTGCTTCAGGCCAAAAGTTGAATATGGAGAAGTCCGAGGTTTCCTTTAGCCGAAATGTTGAGCTCGAAATAAATCAAAGAGGTCGGCCGATCATCTGAATGACCTCCGAGAAACATTTACCGAACTCAGGCGGCATAAGATGATGTTAAATCCAAAGAAATGTGTCTTTGGTGTTAAGTCCGGAAAATTTATAAGATTTCTATTTGATCAACACGACATTGAGGCCAACCCTGAGAAGATCCAGGCGGTCCTAGACATGAAATCGCCCAGAACCATAAAAGAAGTTCAAAGGCTGACCGGCTGCTTAGCTGCACTCGGACGATTTCTGTCAAGATCAGGGGATAAGTGCCAATATTTTTTCCAGACTATCAAGAAGAAAACAATGTCCGAGTGGAAAGAGGAGGCCGAAAAAGCCTTCGTACAGTTAAAAAATTGTTTGCATACCTTTCCTCGGCTTGTTAGTCTACTCAAAGATGAGAAGCTATACATGTATCTTGCAATTTCAGATAATTCCTTAAGTGTTGTCCTGCTTGCTAAAAGGGACGGCCATCAGATCCCTGTGTATTCATCAGCCACGTCCTGCACAATGCCGAGCTTAGGTATCCACCCATTGAAAAGTTCGGCTTGGCATTGTTCATGGAATCAAAGAAACTAATGCCATATTTTCTTGCTCACTCAATTGTGGTCTACACGGACCAACAGTTGAAGAAGTCGTTCACGACATTGGAGGCTAGTGGCTGAATGCTTAAATGGGCCATAGAGTTGAGAGGATTTGATATCACATTTAAACGGCCACTTAAGATTGGAGACTTGGTCTTAAGGAAGATGGAGGCGGTAGGCCGAGCTAAAGAGGATGGCAAACTAACCCCAAATTGGGAAGGGCCTTACCGAATTAAAGAAGAAGTTCGAGATGGTACCTACCGTCTTGAAGCCTTAGATGGACATCCTATTCCCCGTATGTGGAATACAGACAATCTGAAAAAATATTGTGTATAATTTTTTTGTATTTAGCTAAAAATTGTATATACAACTAGGTCTAAACGGCCAAGAAATGTAATTAAAGCCATACGACCAAAAACAATGTAATTTTGACAATATTAATGAAAAAGTCAAACATTATTTTTTCCCTTTACTTTGTACGATTACTTATTGCTGAGCAGAAATGCCACCTAAAATCAGAAACAAGGGTGGCTTGCAGCATAGCAGCTCGGACCTTGACAAGCGCATAAATGAAAAAGCAATGCCGCCTAAAAAGAGAAGCAAAGCTGCTTGCCAAACAACAGCCCGTCCTCTAAAAGAAGCATGGTCAGGTAGGCGAGTAAACGCCTAGCAAGGGCATCCCCCATCCAGGCA